TTATTTGTATCTTCTACTGCAGGTGCGTTTAATGATAACAGATGCTGCACGACATAAACTTCTGGTACTAACTGGGCAGAACTTTGAAAACACAGGCGAACTCATTCTTCAGTCAGGATCTTTCTCATTTCAGAATTTCATTGAGATCTTCACAGACCAAGAGGTTTGTTTCTTAATTGGTGCTGCTCTGCAATTCATTGAGGCTGAAGTCTTGTTTGTACTTGTGATTGTACAGCAGATTTAGTCATTTAATGTTTTGAAGAGGAGTAAAAAAAAAAATCAGAAATAGATGTCCATCATGCGATACATTTTAAAAATATTGTATAGACTGCAGGACAAGGAATAATTTATTATTTATTTGCTTACAATTGTTATATCCATCTCCAACCTGAGGGATTTCTGGATGGTATGCAACAAAGCAAATAGATAAAGCCAGAGTATACAGCTAATTCTCAGTTAATGAGAAATTGTTAAAACATGATAGTGCTGAACTAGGGGTGGTTACAGCTGGATCTTAAACTGGTTCTTCTGGCTATTCCAGTGTTCCTGTGACCACGTGATCACGATCAGGGCACTTGGCAACCAGCTTGCATTTATGATGGTTATAGCACCTTACAATCACATGATTGTGATTTGCAACTTTCCTGTAGCTTCACACAAGTGAAGTCGATCAAAAAGCCAGCAGGAAAGGTCTCAAGTTGCTTAAGTAAAGTTTTCCTGCCTGCAGAATCACCTTCAGTCCTCCTTTGCTTGCGCCATTCCTCACTGGCCACCTGGACCACCTTGCACACTCTCCCCAAGTCTCACTGTGCTTGTGTGGTGCCTCTCCAGTGATTCACACATCCTCTCCTGGCCTCTTGAACACCCTTCCCCAACCTCATTGATCTTAGCCCTTCCTGCCTTACTACTTGCAATTGTTCCTTCACCTGGCAGCAGCCAACTCAATCCCCACCATGCTTGCACTGTGCCTCCCTGTCACCTGCACACTCACTAAGCCCAACTATGCTCACGCTGCATCTCCTTGGCCATTTGTATACTCTCCCTGGCCACTCATGCACACTTGCATGCTATCTCCAAGTCACACACACTGTATCTCCCCAGACACCCACACATCTTTGTACCTGTCAGGGTACCTGTGGTGGCCCGAGCATTCTGTAAGTGAAAATGGGCTCCCGAGCTCTGTTTTCAGCTGTGACGGCTTCCTCTGCTAGCACACAGCCCTCCTGGGCTCTGTTTTTCCTGGCAGAGGCACTGCGGTCCTTCACTGTTTCCAGGTTGGCCCCATGGGTCAGATGTAGGCATCCCATGGGAGTTTGACATCCCTGTTCCAGTATATCTGCCTTCTTCATGCTTACTTTGCTCTTTAAATGTAGGTAATGTTACTATCCAAGCCTAAAACAATAACATTAAATTGGCTCAATCTTTCTAGGAAGTCAGCGAACACAGCTGAGATATTTCCATGGCTAAAACCAGAATATAAATACTTTTGAAATAAAAGCAACTTTTCTTAATATGGAAATGTATTGGCACTGAGCCTGTATATAATTGCTATTTTTTTTCTTGGAGATAACAGTGTATATTAGAGAAAAGAAGATTTTAGACCAGCATAATTACTTTGATTTGTACTAGAACACTGAAATCAATTATGGGGGCCAAAGGCAAAATTCTAACTCAGGAAGCACATCCACTTTCTACTGATTTAATTTTGAGACATAAATATGAATTAAGTGTATACAATCATATCATATTTCTGCTTGGGTTTTTTTCAATTTCAGATTGGAGAATTATTGAGCACTACTCACCCTGCCAACAAAGCCAGTTTAACACTTTTCTGTCCTGAGGAAGGGGACTGGAAGAATTCAAACCTTGACAGACACAACCTTCAAGATTTCATCAACATTAAGCTGAATTCTTCTTCGATTTTGCCTGAAATGGAAGGGCTTTCTGAATTCACAGAATACTTGTCAGAGTCAGTGGAGGTACCATCTCCATTTGATATTTTGGAGCCGCCAACCTCAGGAGGCTTTCTGAAACTTTCTAAGCCTTGTTGTTACATTTTCCCTGGTGGAAGAGGAGATTCCGCACTGTTTGCTGTGAATGGATTCAACATGCTTATCAACGGAGGATCAGAGAGAAAATCTTGTTTCTGGAAACTCATCAGGCATTTGGACAGAGTAGATTCAATTTTGCTCACTCACATTGGAGATGATAATTTGCCAGGAATTAACAGCATGTTGCAACGGAAAATGGCAGAATTGGAAGAGGAGCAGTCTCAAGGCTCTACTACCAATAGCGACTGGATGAAAAATCTAATTTCACCTGATTTGGGAGTTGTATTTCTTAATGTTCCTGAAAGCCTAGGAAACCCTGATCCTAATTTGCAATTAAAAAGAAGCGTAGAAGAGGCTTGTTTTACGTTGCAATACTTAAACAAGCTATCCATGAAACCAGAACCTCTCTTTAGAAATATAGGAAACAACACTGAGCCCATTATCCTTTTTCAAAAAATGGGTGTAGGGAAACTGGAAATGTATGTGCTTAACCCAGTCAAAAACAGCAAAGAAATGCAATATTTCATGCAGCAGTGGACGGGTACGAACAAAGATAAAACTGAACTGGTATTACCAAATGGTCAAGAAATAGACATCCCAGTTTCCTACCTGACTTCGATCTCATCATTGATTGTATGGCATCCAGCAAACCCTGCTGAAAAAATCATCCGAGTTCTTTTCCCAGGGAACAGTACACAGTATAGCATATTAGATGGCCTAGAGAAGCTCAAACATTTGGACTTCCTTAAACAACCCATAGTGACACAAAAAGACTTAAGTGGTAACCTGACAAGTCCAGCAGTGAAGCAGACAAAACCGAAGCAGAGAGCAGACAGTAAAGAAAGTCTCAAGCCAATCACTAAAACACTGTCTACAAAGACGCTCAGAAAAGAATCAAAAGAGGAGGCCTCTGACACAGGGAAATCTAGCCCACCAGAAAAGGCTCCGAAAGTAGAAAAACCCGTCGTAAAAAAAGAAAAACCAGCAAAAAGTGAAAGTAGGCTCTCTGTCACTGAAAAAGACCTAACGGCAAAGGAGCAACAAATGGTGAAATCTGAAACTATTGAAAAACAAGCCACCGATGTGAAACCGAAAGTAATAAAGGAGAAGCATGTGAAAAAGGAAGTGAAAGTAAAATCTGAAGAAAAACTAGAGGAGAAAGAGAAGTCAAAGAAAGAGGTGCCTAAGAAAGATGAAAAATCCCAGGCCAGGAAAGAAGAAAAGCCTAAAAAGGACGATTTGAAGAAAGAAATAAAGAAAGAATCTAAAAAAGAGCCAAAGAAAGAAGCTGCTGCAAAAGAATCCAAAAAAGAAGAGAAAAAGGAAGTGAAAAAGGAAGAAAAGAGGGAAATCAAGAAACTTCCTAAGGAGGTAAAGAAGACCTCTGCTGCTTTGCCTGAATCAAAGAAGATTACAGCAAAGTCAAAACCACAGAAGAAGGAAGAACCCATTAAAAAAGAAAGTGGACTTGCTGGAAAACCCAAAGAAAAAGCTAAAAGCAAGCCAGTGAAGAAAGAGCTCAAAGTGGCAGAAAAATCAGCTGCGGCAGTGACTGTTTTGGGAGCTGGGGCTGCAGCAGTAGCAGCTGGAAGCCTAGCAGTCGGTGGGAAAGAACTTGAAGTTGAGAGGTCACTTATGTCCTCACCAGAAGACTTAACAAAAGATTTTGAAGAACTAAAAGCAGAAGAAGTTGAAGTTGTGAAGGAAACAAAGGAAGATAAAGTTAAAAATGAAAGCCAGCCAACTGGCATAGAACAAGAGGAAGATTATACAGTTCAAAAGGAAAAAATAGCAGGTCCAACTCATTCTCCTGATGAAGATATCACCGCTGCAGAACCTGAGGGAGAATGTGAACAAACTCCTGAAGAGCTGGAGTCTGTGGGAAAGGAGAAGGTTGATGAGAGTGAAAAATTTGAAGAGGAAGGAGCAGGTTTTGAAGAATCCTCTGAGGCAGGTGACTATGAAGAAAAGGCTGAGACCGAGGAGGCAGAAGTACAAGGGGACAATGAAGAAGTGCCAACAAGTTTCAAAAAGCAAGGCATAAAGGATATCATTGAACCAGAGGAGATTGAAAAAGAAATGATAGAAGCACCCGAGAATGAAAAAATGAAAGGGTTAATGTATGACAAAAAAGCAGACTTTAGAATGGAGTATGAAGATCACTATGAGGAAAATTTAGAAGAAACAACAGTTGAAAAGGCAGAAACAGAAGACACTGAAGAAGACATTGAGGAAGACAAAACTGAGGAGGTCAAAGATGAAGAGGAAACTGAAAAAATACAAGCTGAAGGGGATTATGTCATGGCTGTAGTAGACAAAGCTGCTGAAGCTGCTGAAATGGATGATAAATATGCTTTGCCTATAACTACTCCAACTAAGTTGTCAGAATCTCCATCTCCGGCAAAGGAACCGGCATCTTCAATCCAAGATGAAACTCTACCTGGTGGGTCAGAAAGTGAAGCAACTGTTTCAGATGAAGAAAACAGAGAAGACCAGCCTGAGGAATTCACTGCTACTTCAGGTTATACCCAGTCCACTATTGAAATATCCAGTGAACCAACTCCAATGGATGGAATGTCAACTCCACGAGATGCAATGAGTGATGAAACAAACAACGAAGAAAGTGAATCTCCTTCCCAAGAATATGTTAACATTACTAAATATGAGTCAGCACTCTATTCTCAAGATTTTGCTAGACCTAAAGTTGCTCCTCTTCCTGATGCTTTTAATGGAGCATCCGAAGGATCAAAAACAGATGCTACTGAAGGCAAAGACTATAATGTTTCAGCTTCTACCATTTCACCACCTTCTTCATTAGAGGAAGATAAATTTAACAAAACTTCCTTCCAGGATCTGTATCATCATCGGGAAAATGAATTCAAAACTGTTACTAAATTAGACATTTCAGAAACTTGGGATGAGAAGATTAGCCCAACTATAGATGAAAGTCCAGCCCCACTATCACCAGTTGCTAAAACACCTCTTAGCGAGCGTAGTGTGAACTTTTCTCTAACTCCCAATGAGATTAAAACAGCAACTGAGCCTATATCTCTAACAGCACTGCCAGAAAAACATCACGAAACCCAGGAAGAACAATGCCCCAGCCCTGATGATAAAACATTAGAAGTGGTATCCCCTTCACAATCGGCTGCTGGAAGTGCTGGTCACACTCCGTATTACCAATCTCCCACTGATGAAAAATCAAGCCAACTTCCAACTGAGATTCCTGGAAAAACAACTGAAGTACCAATCAGTGTTGAAGTTAGTGAAGCCAAAGATAATGTTGCAAAACACAGAATAAGCCCAATGGATGAACCAGTGCCTGATTCTGAATCGCCTTTTGAGAAAGTGCTTTCACCTTTACGAAGTCCACCACTTATTGGTACAGAATGTTCTTATGACACATTTTTAAGTGCTGATCTAAAATCTCTCAAAGAAACTGAAATTACCTTTGAAAAGAAAGGGGAAACAGATGATTCTGTGTTGCAGAAGAGCGAAGTTTCTGAAATTACTTCGACAAACATTTTCGAAGAGCAGCAGGATGAAAAAGATTTGGAGCTGACACCTCCAAAATCAGACATTCTCCTAGAAAAGAAAAAGGATGATTTAGAAACTTCAGAAATTCATTCCGCATTAGTTTTGGATGAGAGGAAGCTGGCAGAGGTTTCTCCTACTCAGGTGGATATTAGTCATTTAGGCTATTTCAAAGAGGACACTAAAATGTCAATATCTGAAAGTACTGTCTCTGATAAATCTGCAACTCCTGTTGATGAAGTTGTAGCAGAAGATACGTATTCCCATATTGAAGGAGTTGCGTCTGTTTCTACAGCATCTGTTGCTACTAGTTCATTTCCAGAACCAACCACTGATGATGTATCTCCTTCGTTACATGCTGAGGTTGGATCTCCTCATTCTACTGAAGTTGATGATTCTCTTTCTGTGTCTGTTGTACAAACACCAACTACATTTCAAGAAACAGAAATGTCTCCATCTAAAGAAGAGTGTCCAAGACCAATGTCTATTTCTCCACCAGACTTTTCTCCTAAAACAGCAAAGTCAAGAACACCAATACTAGATCATAGATCTCCTGAACAATTGACTATGTCAGTAGAATTTGGACAAGATTCACCTGAACAGTCTTTGGCCATGGATTTTAGCAGACAGTCGCCTGAGCAACCCATAGTAGGTGCTGGTGTGCACCATATATCTGAAAATGGTCCCACAGAAGTTGATTTTAGCCCTTCAGATATGCAGGAACATGGATTTCCAAATAAAATATCACCAGTGGAACAAGTATGTTTTAGCAACGAGAAGGATATTTCAGAAATTATTTCAGTTTCTCAAATAGAGGCTTCACCTTCACCTTCCACTTCCTCTGTTCATACACCTTCACAGGCGAGTTCTCCTCTGCAAGAAGAAATGCTATCAGCTGTTACACAGCCTAGTGATATGCCATTACATTCTACATTTCCATCAGAAAAAATGCAAAGCTTGGGAGAGAAACTCTCACCAAAGTCTGATTTATCTTCATTGACACCACGGGAATCTTCTCCTTTGTATTCACCTAGTTTTTCAGATTCACCACCCGTAATGAAAGAAACAATGGCTGCTTCTCAGTCATCACTATTATCACTGCACGTATCCCCAGACAAACTGTTTGGCTATCATACATCAATAGTTCAAGACCCTGAGACAAAACATGGCCAAGAGCTTCTAGCATCTGAGGATCAGGAGGATACTGAAGAAACATCCATATCACCAGAACCGCTTATTTACTCTTATAAGGAAACTGGAAGTACCACTAGGTCACCTGAGACTGTAAGTTATTCCTATGAAAAAACAAAGGAAGTCACTGAATCTCCTGAAACCTTTGATTACAATTATGCTGCAACAAAGGAAATCACCAGATCAATAGAGGCAGATAGTTATTCCTACGAAAAGACTGAAAAAACTACCAAGTCACCAGAAGTCCTTGATTATTCTTATGAAAAATCCTCCAAACTATCAGAGTCTGTCCATTATCCATTTGAGTATGCAGAGAAAGCTATCAAATCACCTGACATTTCAACTTATAGCTATGAGAATGACAAATACTTTGTTTCAGAAAAATCTGAAATCCGTCAAGATGTTGATTTATGCCTTGTCTCATCCTGCGAGTACAAGCATCCTAAAACAGAACTGTCACCTTCTTTTATAAATCCTAACCCTTTAGAATGGTTTGCAAATGAGGAACAATCTCAAGACCAAGAAAAGCTGTTAATTCAGTCCGGAGGTGCTCCACCACCCTCTGGAGGAAAGCAGCAAGCTCGACTGTGTGGTGAAACACCCCCAACTTCTGTAAGTGAATCTGCTCCGTCACAGACCGACTCGGATGTACCCCCTGAAACAGAAGAGTGTCCTTCCATTACAGCAGATGCTAACATTGATTCAGAAGATGAATCTGAAACGATACCGACAGATAAAACGGTTACATATGAACACATTGACCCTCCCCCAGTCCCTGTTCAAGATCGCAGCCCTTCACCCAGGCACCCAGATGTCTCCATGGTAGATCCAGAGACATTACCTATTGACCAGAATCTAGGGAAGCCTTTGAAAAAAGATCTGAAAGAAAAAACAAAAACAAAAAAGCAGGGGACTAAGACCAAATCTTCTTCTCCTGCCAAGAAGAGTGATAGCAAACCTAAGCAAGTAGCTTCTCCAAAACCTGCTGGCTTGAAGGAATCATTAGATAAAGTTTCCAGAACAGCTTCTCCAAAGAAGAAGGAGTCTGTGGAGAAAGCTGCCAAAAATATATCTACTCCAGAGATAAAATCATCTCATAATGAAGAGAAAGATAAGGAAACTAAGAATGCCGCCAATTCTACAACATCAAAGTCAGCAAAAACCACAACTTCAGGTGAGATAAATTGTAAATAGCAATAGCAGTTAGACTTATATACCGCTTCATAGGGCTTTCAGCCCTCTCTAAGCGGGTTACAGAGTCAGCATATCGCCCCCACAGTCTGGGTCCTCATTATCTTTCTCTTCATTATGAGATGATTTTATCTCTGGAGTAGAG